GTACGTCACAGGTCAACAGAAATGGCGCTCAGTATATTCGCCGCTCGTCACTTCGAATTTTTGTAACAGGTTATATTAGTTTAATACAGAGTATTGCGATATATAGTAAGTTTCCAGATAGCGGAGAAAGGTTCGTGTTGAGAATAAACCCAGTTTGGAAGTTCTAGTCTCTGAAAACGCACCAGCAAACCGGCCCGAGTGATTCACTCGGGCATTCCTCCGCACAAAAGGATAGGGAGGCTTTGTAACCCTATCCTCTTGGGTTTGGGTTACATTACTGTATCTAGGGGGACATAGACCCTATGAGCGTAAGTGGGTATAACGTAAGACTAAAGTACACGTTGTTTAATTACAATCAGGCAACTCATACTTACACCTTTGCATGACTCGACGTCTACGACATCCTTATACTGAAATATCATTGAATATAGAAAGCAGAATAACAATGACGACAATGGTAAAGAAACAGTTCTCAGAACCAGGGTCCTGAAATTCATCCCGACCATAACACCAGGTCGAGATCCATCGAGCATTTTGATGTGATTCGCAATCGTGCCCGAACGTATTGTTTGTGGCTGTTCAGTCATGTTAATCGCTGTCAGTTTCCCAGCTTTCAGTTTTACATAGAAACGAGATAATATCGAATATTAGTATTAGCGGAGCAAATAAAAACATTGAGAAAGTAATAAGGTGTCGCCCTCTATATATTATACATTACTACACACATGACGTAATTTCCTTGCTATCCAATGAAAATCAGTGTTGTCTCAGCATGGCATTCGGGTACCCTCGGACCATTCAGAGAATAGATTCAGAGAATAGCGCAGAACTGTTTTCTAGGCATGACGGGAAGAGTCGAATGGGTTTTCCGATTGTCAGCATGGCTGTGCATGGATTTCCATCGTTTCTGTCGATTTATGATTAGCAAGGACCAATTTCTACACTTGTCTTTGTAAGCATTTGTTACAATTGAATTACATTTTTAATTATTTATATAGACGTCGAACTCATTGTAGCTGTGTTTGTAAGCCTTTTCAGTGGCAATGACATAGGTCTCAATGGGACCCATGTTCTCTATTCATTCCTTGAACCATAGTGATAGTCACAGTGATACAGTAACAGTGAATGAGTGATAGGCCTACGGCTACTGTCTGATAGGGCCTAGTACTCAGTAGTAGTAGTACTTGGTACTATACTACTACTAATACTGGTAGTGGTAGTATAGGCCTACTACTACTACTACTAGTAGTACTACTACTACTACTACTACTACTACTACTACTACTACTACTACTACTACTACTACTACTACTACTACTACTAGTAGTACTACTACTACTACTACTACGGTCAGTGTTGTAGTTAAACCGACCAGGCTCTCCGACTAGTTACACGGCGTGGGATCAGGGAATGATTGAGATGTAACTTGTAAGACTGCATGTGATATGAGCGTACATAATTCCGTACTGAAATGTCTAGTCCAGTGACAGGACTTTCGCTATCTTACTGAATTTGGATACGTACATGGAACAAATTTATACCATTGGCATTGACACCAAAATGTTAATATTACAAAGAAATCTCACAACTGTTGGTGGCACCTACAAAAGCTCTCAGAAAAAAAATTGTTGATCAATTGGCAGACAACAGTATTTGAGGTTGAACATGCCTCCCCCAACCTACATTTTCTGCAAATCCATGCATCTTGTTCTCTTCTGCCTCCACCTTTATTTCTCCAGTATAATGGCTGTAAAATAAGTGCATCATGACCATGCATGCTGATAGTTGCTCTGCGGTTAGACGAGTCAAATTACGTTCAAGTGTGAAATGTAAGAATTCAATGGCTAGAATGTCTTTTATACATGCAGTAAGATATGCAAGTTAATCTTGCTAATACTAACTGCTGAAGTAATTGAGTTTTTGAAAAACTTGTGAAAACATGTTAACATATTAAAGGAATAATAGGTCCATTGATTATACAATGTTGACGAATGCTAGATTAACTGGCACCTTGTGTAGTTAATAAGTGCATTACCTTATAGCCAAACGCGTATTAGTTTGTCTAATATTACTGCTGGTTACATTTCAAACAAGACTTGAAATCGGTTATTGATATGTATCAACGTATCATTTACGTGCCATCAATGTCGTCCAGGAGTCAAGCGATGATGTAAACATTTGTGCGGCCCGTATGTTTTGGACGCCAGATGAAACAGAGGTGTCAGCGGTGTAACCGTGTAACCACGGCCACGGACTAAACATGGAAATACAGTAAAACACACATACTAATCACAGACGCACGTGGACAGCCCTGACAAAAAGTTCCTTATCACGAGCATCCATGTTTACTAAATCACTGATGATAGCATTGCATACGGTCGAGCATGCGTGCGAAAATGTCCGGTGCACTATAAATCTGTATCACACCCGCTTTGCCGACAGCGGTTTGAAACTGTAAACAACTGATTTTTGGACTGCGGATTTCAATTAGACATTTCTTAGTAACCAGCACTGATATTCGACAAACTAATACGCGTTTGGCTATAAGGTAATGTACTTATTAACTACACAAGGTGCCAGTTACTCTAGCATTTGTCAACATTGCATAATCAATGTACCTATTATTCTTTTAACATTTTGTATGTTTAAATATTTTATACCATCGTATTCTATTTACAGATTTGAAGTCAAATTAAAGAACAATGGCCAATGCAGTTGGGGAAGAGAGTGGACCGGAAAAGAACTTTACTGTTCCTCCAGAGGCCACGTTTGATAGTATTGTGGTGGACTTTAGTTTTCACACAGAAAAAGACATTCTTGCTGCTGGTCTAATTGAGGGTGATATAGCTGTGTAAGTTTTTCCATTTTCAAGTGTAATCAAATATGGGCTTATTCTCCACTAGGTGGCAGTACAATACAATCCCACTCAGTGCATATCAGCTGCTAAAGTTGGTCAACAATTTATTCTTGAACAAAACTTTTTTATTCTTGAAGTGTTGATACATATAATGTATTAAACTACAAAGATGGTTTCTCTAAGTGTTATCAAAGCGATATATTACATTCGCCATATCGTATAGTACATTTCAACCAATATCTGTAGGCTGGGCAATTCTTCATAAACCTGGATAAAAGCCTGGTGAAGTTTGCATTGTGACTGCAGAACAAAATCGTTCAGAAGCCATTGACCATATACTACTGCTATTAATGACTTGAAGTCAGTCCTAAATGAGAATAGTGATGAGGTGTGGAACTTGGAAGAAGTATAATGAATAGTGATAGAGTGTACGATTGGTTTGCATTGTGAGTTATTTTCACATTTTTAACAGTTATTGAAAGGAACTATTGTTTTTTTCAGACGCTCGTTTTCGAGGAGCAAGGAAGGCAATAACCAGTTGATGACGTTCACACACCACAAGAAAGCCTGTAGATGTGTCAAGTTTTCTCGTGATAGCAGTCAGCTTTTCACCACAGCGAAGGACAAATCTATATGCAGTGTTGATATGGAAACTGGCACTGTAACACATAGACAAAAAAATGCACACAAGTATGAACATGTACCTCAATCAAAGTCAGGCTTAAATATTAGTTGTTGGTAATAAACATGAAGAATTATGCATATGTCTGTGAACACAGACATACATCTTGCAATTGAAAACTGGACCCTGGGAGTCTATTTCTTAAATGAAATCTTTTTGCACAGTATCATTAATAGTAGTTGGTACATGCAGTTTATGTGGTTAGCTAAGAAAGCTTTAGGTAGGTCAATGATGATAGCTGACATAAGTTTGTATTTCTTTCTGCTTGCTGTCTAAATGTTTGTGTGTGTGGTTTGTTTGTTGCAGTGCTCCTGTGTACAGCATGGCTGTTATAGATGACTACTTACTGGCTACAGGTGATGATGATGGAAATCTCAAGGTAAAATCCAAACTCAGAAGCTGAAATGTCATTTTAAACTAATCTCAAAGAAATAAAAAATGTAATATAAGATTCAGTGTATAGTTATCCCAACTATATGTCATTGATATTGGTGCGTAATTACAAAAGGTTCGTGCTTCATTGGCAATGAAGTGGATTGTTATTTAAATCATTATCTGTTTTGTTAATTAAGTACTATCGTAATTGTAACTGTAGCACTGGTAGCAGTGCAGATGGTATACAATTTCTTGCCAAATGCTTAATGGAAATACACCATAGTATAATTATATTGATTGTAAATTTTAGGTGTGGGACTACCGGCGGTGGACACCAATAGTAGAGTGGAAAGAATCAGAGGAGTTCATTAGCGATATGGCCATTGATAGCAATAAAAGAACTTTGGTTGCCACAAGGTAATGATGCATGCAGTGTGAAGACTAGTGTGCAAGAGATATGATACAACATGAAAGTTTCTATTTGGAATTTGTATAGTAAATATCCATGTATTATAGTAATGAGGTTCCCCTATAGTTTTCCAATGAACGGTATAAGCAACTGGTTTTACATTATAATAAACTATCCAGAAGAAGTGTCACAGCTTTGGGAATACATAAGAGGGTCCTGTTTAAATAATGGATCTCACGTAATAATTTGGTCACTGATTTGCAGAATATTATATTTAATAATTTAATATTCGTAAACGGTTTCCGAGAGGCTAACTGCTTCAGTAATTTGTTGTGCTTTTTGCAGTGGTGAAGGCACCTTGACGGCATACAGCGTAAGAAGCAAGAAGATGATTTTACAGTCAGAGTTAATGGACTCTGAGTTTCTCTCTGTAGCAATAGTTGATGTGAGTCCTTCCTATACCCTACTATAACAATGGTTCTGTGTATTGTCTTTGATTACAATATATATGATACCTGATGATATTATAATGGTATACACTCTATACACTTTGGCTTGTAAACTGTAGTTAATAGGTATATAACAGGCTTTCTATTCGGTTGTACTAAACATGTTTTGTTACTATATGCAGTAGGAATGTGTTAAGTGAGAAAATGAACTGTTCGCATATTTTCATTTTCAGAAAGGAAAGAAAGTTGTGTGTGGGAATGGGGAAGGTGTACTGAACTTCTTTAATTGGGGAGAGTGGGGAAACATCTCTGATAGATTTCCTGGACATCCAGACTCAATAGACACAATATGTCCCATCACAGACAACATAATCTGTACAGGTTCTATGGATGGCAAAGTAAGGTAAGAACTTTGTATTGTTTGTGATGTAATAACTCAATGTAATAACGTACTACTGTTGAATTGTTTCATTTGAGCACATGCAATGTTACATTACTGTTTCCAAGAGATCAACCAAATTTGTTTACAGTTATTAAAATAGTTTGTGTGATGAATCGCCAAGATTTTTGCATTTATTAATCCCATGAACGAAATTAAAAGCCATTGACATTTTCTGCAACAAATAAAAAACGATGAAAATTCTAAAGCAAGACTTAGCACTATTAAGAGGTGTTTGATAACCGTGTAATGCTCTTCCAGGGGAGTGCATGTAATGCCCAACAGAATGCTGGGTGTAGTTGGTGAGCATGAAGATTTTCCTATAGACCACATACGGTTGTCCAGAGATGGCTCAATGATTGCCAGCTGTGGACACGACGAAAAAATAAAGTTCTGGGACACGGAGCACATTAGGAGCGAGACCGTTGACCACACAAAAAAGGCAAGGAAAGGGCAGAAGTTGAAAAACCTTCAAGGTGCAGGTAGCGACTTCTTTGCAGGATTAATGGACGACAAAGCTGACGACGAGTAACATTCATATTGTTTCTGGCGTCTCTCGATTCTGTTCAGTCCAATTTTGTACATATGCAGTTATGCAATGACAATAATACCACTGTAACCATTGTATGTCAATAACGTCATTGTAAAATGCTACAATATACGATATAAAATATTTTATTACGATTTTAAATAATGTTTTGATTCTGAGCTATATTGCTGCACGAATGAATTTCCCCAATATTATGTATTTCATATATTAAATTTCTTTCTAAAAGCATTACTTTTCAGCATGTTACCATATTTGATATCTGTTTACATTGCATCTCATAAGCAAATGAGACAGCATATATTTATAGATGGTATACTCATATCAAGAGCGTATAAAGAAGGAGAGCGTACAACGGTGAAATGCTGAAACCATGTTGCAGTATTAGTCGAATTAAGAAACTTTGCCCGTTTTATTTTGATGATTCGTTGCAGTATTATTGAACAGCTGTCCTACCTTGCTAATATAAAACAAACCGCTTGTCCCTACGATGCTCCTACGCTGAGATAATGAGCGGTGAAAATCTGGTATTTTCGCCGAAAACCGACGAGATCACTGTTTAATGCGACCCTCTCTCGCTTTGTGCCCAGTGTATTGCTTCCAGTCGCCGCTGTGTAGCGCCATGGTAGCGCTGACTCACATCAGTACTACAGAGTTGAGTTTACTATACATCCAGCATGAGGTGGGCACAGGTGGGGGTCATCACTATGGCAATCAATAACAGACGTCGTTCATTCCATTTGTCAATCATTGACGGAAACGCGCAAGGTTTCCCGAAGTTATCTCAAAGCGAGACAGTCACAGTAAACAGTGATCTCGAGTCGGTTTTTGGCGAAAATACCAGCTTTTCACCGCTCATTATCTCAGCGTAGGGGCATCGTAGTGACATGCGGTTTGTTTTATATTAACAAGGTAGGACAGCTGATCAATAATACCGCAAGGAATCGACAAAATAAAACGGGGAAAGTTTATTAATTCGACTAATACTGCAACATGGTTTCAGCATTTCACCGTTGTACGCTCTCCTTCTTTATACGCTCTTGCTCATATCTATCTATATATTTAAATAGAAAGATGCAATTAATTGGTATGTATGAATTATTTTTTTATGTTTATTAGAACAACACAATGGAAAAATTGTGACTACATGATCATAACCATAGCATTATACAATGACAGACAATTAAACATTTTGAAACATAATTGGTTTCTAATAGCAAAGCTATTACGTTTTAATACCAAATATCTATAGCAGATATGTTAAATATAAAATATTACGTCACATGAATTATATAATTCGTATAAAATTGAGACCTTTCAATTGAATACTTGCGAATTTCGCTAATGCATTTTCAATACACTTCGAAAGTACAAAGACGTTTAGATCCCCCCTCAGCAAAAAATAACAATGATAGTCTTACTCGAAAACAACTGGACAACTTGTATTATGACCTTCATTTGTTGACATGTGCACAGTCTAAAATTTGTCATTATTATACACGTGAGTACTATACATGGCTCCACAGGCCCCCAAGGTTACCATATATCTAATTCAACTGCTACCAATGTTCATAGGTATGGGGAAGCAATTTACGACGTAAATGGGTGACTGCTTATATCAAGTGCAAACACAAGAACAAAATTTGATCTGTGCGAAATCACTGAAACACACTAGAAAACTAGTCATTGCTTATGAAACATCAATCAACATATCACCTTGCTCATTGGAAAATCATGTGAACAAGTAGTCTGAGAAGACCCACATCAAACTATATGGTTTTTTATTTGTCCCTGTTTCATATTCTAGTGGCAATAGATGTAACTGTACATGTAACGTAAAACTGTATAGTAGACACGAATAAAAGAACTGCCAGGTAATAGTAGACATGTATCCAGCACACTTTACTTTAACCTACATTCTAAATAACAGTGCTTCGATTCTGTGGTTTGTACTATTGTCATTACTTCCACAATAACAGGTCCGCACAAGAGTTACAGTCACAAGCGAGTTGAACAGCTCAAAATGTCACATCTCTTCATCTCTGCACGGTTTTACAAAAGATTATTAGGCTAGGCTGAAAATATGGCCCTAGCAGCTTTAACAAGTGCAATAATACTAATCCAGAAAAATAAGAAGAAAGGGAATAACTCAAGTACTAGCCTAACATTCTTTGCTGTTCGATCGAGTCGTGCAATACTAGCATGTGCAGGGCTAGACACCATGCTGTTGGGCCGGTTAGACACCATGCTGTTGGGCCTGACTCTGATGAATCGGCGGCTGGAAACAACGGACATGCTCTACAGGGAGATTGTCCGCATCACTCGACTTCAGATACTTGGTCAGTATGCCGAAAATCTGGCTGTTTAGCACCTGGAACTTGCGAACTCTGTCCACCATCCTCTTCAGAGACTGAAATGGAAGTATGTATATCAATGTTTTGATTTTTAGATCTGTCTCTGGGGGTTGTAGTCGCACTAGGTGTTCCTTCTACTTCTACAAAATCATCAATGCCTTCGTACTGAATAGAGTCTATGCAAACGAGGTGGGCAAATAACGATATGTTATCATGAGACATTCACACACAATACGTACATACCAACTACAGGTATGATAAGAAATATATGCAAAAATCCAATAATAATAAATGATGTCTCTCATTAGTTTTCATAATAGCCACACCGTCACCTATGCCTGTAATAAGATGATTATCCATACACACAATAAAAATGTGTACATTTATATTAACATAAGGCTCTGTAACTACAAGCGTACAGAAGAGCGAAAAGTAGAAGCGTACATGTAATAAGTGAATATGTAATGCTCATACAATACGCAAGTACACGACGTGTAACAGCAATGTAAAAGTATAAATGTATGATAGCTATCCCTTGCTCTTGCCTGCCTGTGTTTCACATTTATAAATTTATCTCCCAATAGAGGGCAGGCAGTGCACAAAACGAGGTCACGAGAATTCACGGTTGGTTGAGTCTGGTCTAATGCGTGAATGAATACCCCTTTCCGCGCCCCGTGAACGATACTGTACGCATAAGCTGCACCACCAATTTCAATGGCTTGGCCGTTCCTCTAAAGTTGTTGCCTTTGTGAGATGGATCGTGCGAATTCGTGAGCGAAAGGTATAGTAAAGGATGAGTTTAGCGTATACCACATAATGTATTGTAACGCTTATGACTAATGCAGTGGACTGAAAGTAGTACGTTAACACGAAATTACGTGCACTGTAGCAGAAGTACGTTACTGGCAGAAGTACGTTACTGGCAGCATAGAGGGTTCAACTTCAAGGAGAATAGGATAATCGCAGTGGCTGGAGGTACGGCAGCCGTCGTTCGTTGAAGCCCCTTTTTGGACTGCCGTACCTCCAGCCTCGACACATTAAGATACGGCTGCCGTACCCACAGGCACTTGAAGCGTATCAACTGTAAACACACGCCGCCGCCATTGCGCGTACACTGACACATAAATATATAGGTTATACTTATATATAGGTTATATATAGGTACTATATATTTATGTGTAAGTGTACGCGCAATGGCGGCGGCGTGTGTTTACAGTTGATACGCTTCAAGTGCCTGTGGCCGTACCCCTAGCTACAGCGATAGATAATAGCAGTAGGCTATGCTGGCAGCCACCGGCACTTGTGCCGTTTCAATAACTAAATGATTCCTAAATACACACAAACAGTATTTACTACCCAATGTCTTAAAGAATGTCTATGTACTCTCTTATTGCCTAAAATGCCACGCAAATGCTGTTCAAATGCTCCGCTGGCACACATTCCTCACCTCACATGCCACTGTAGCTCCAATAAACGGTCTTGCTAATCACTTTGTATTACAACTGTTTGTATACTTTGTATACTTGTATACTTTGTTTGTATACTACAACACTTTGTATACTTTGTACTATCTACTTGTATCACTTTGGCTCATAGGGTCTATGACTCAATAGGCGCGTTCACACTGGCGGGAATTAGATGGATGCAAAATCTCGGTTTTTGCATCGCGATCGAAATACCGAGATTTTTACAAGTATGAACGCAAAAATCTCACTAAGTATCACGATCAGCATCGTGCTGCAAATCGCACTTTTGACTGCGATTATTTGGAATTAGCGCGATTAATTGCACCGCGGCGTGTGTGTGAACGCTCACGCAAATAATCCCGGTATTTTCTATCCCATCATTCCAAGCGATCGTATCAACATCCGGCAGTGAGCATGCGCAGTTCAATTAATAGAATTATCCCGCTCGGCGATTAGCGAGATATTTCCGCCTGTGTGAACAACGACACAATTATCTCGGTATTTCCATCGCGATTAGCATCGCGGTTTTTTGTGTGTGTGAAACTGCCGGGACGTACCCTGGGTACGGTCCGGTATACCGGAACGTACCCTGGTAACTATCTGATATGGTTAGGGTTAGGGTTAGGGTTAGGGAATAGGCGTAGACGACTCCCTACACTCGTTAGTGGAGTAGGCGAGGTACGGTCCGGCATATTAGATAGTACCAGGGTACGTTCCGGCAGTACCCTGGGGGACATAGACCCTCTCAGCATCACTTTGTATAGACAATCAGTCGCACAGCCTCGTCAGGCTAATAATGCCACTGTGCATAAACTCACAGAAAGATAGAGAACAGAAACTGATAGCGACTGATAAAGAAAGGAGAACAAAAACAACAAAAACATGTTTGCTTGGGACACATCTATCTGATCATGATCACTTGACCCTGATCTGCCCAAACAAATGCAAACTCGCCTCCAATACATAGATCCCCTGTCGCTGTGACTTATCACATAATGGTTGCTCAATTAATAGGAGGGGGGGGGGTACTAGGTTGGGACCCCGGTATATATTGTCCGAATATGTGCTAAACTAGGATTGAGCCCAGAATGGTTCGTAACTAACAAGAAGGAGTGATTGGCTGAGTTGCATGCCGTCATATTGAATCCTCTTCGAACCTCCCTTGCCTCAGCAGGGCCAGCAATTTATAATCCGGATTAGGATCCGGATCAAACCGAACAAACACGCAGGATCACTAGATGTGGTTACATGTATAATGTAGGCTTACTATAATGCCGGAGTTTCTACGTGCAGATTACAGGACGAATTCTGTCACTCACATGTTTACACGCGTGAAATCATGTTATATGGTTCCCACACATTTTCCACATCAGATCACTACTCTCAGGATAAATTCAGGTAGCATTACATAGAGATAGATATGACTACATCTATCTTTCTCAACTTGTGAAAAGCTGCACAGCTAGGGCAACACCTGCTTTTCGAGTTTTTCTGTCTTTGTTATTTTTCTTCTATTCCAAATCTCGGCCCTATATTTGTTATAACATTACCATGTAATGAAGGATACCACGAGAAACTGCTGGTGGCCAGAGCACAATAATGAATATACAATTTTGACAAGGGCCTAGACTCACCACTGCAGGCCACGAATAAAAACAAACAAACAAAACTGTTGTCCACATGGAAGTCATAACGATAATGAACGTTTGTTTTGCAGACGACTACGCAGGAAGTTCGCAACTAGGACACGAAGCCAGCTGTCTGCCCACGTCGCATACGAATACATCGCATTGACTATGAACACGCTCGGAAAGAATAAATTAACGGAGACACAGCCGTTGGATACCCGCTCCTAGGGGCAGGTGCCACAGACACCGTCGTCGTGCCGACATACCAAACATGGCGACGGACACGCGCGCGCGGCTGTACGAGGAAGCGGCACGGCAAGCGCGCGACCTTCGTGACCTCGGCACGTCGTGGGGTCTCACCGACGACGAGATAAACCGGTGCGTCGACGCCGCGCTCGCCGAACGCACCGACGACGCGCGCGGGCGTAGGGGGCGCCGGTGGGGCACGCTCGCGGCGCTGTGCGTCGCTGTCATCATCACCGCGGCGATCGTCATCTGCGGGACGGAGACGGGCCAGCGCCTCGTGTCGCGTCACGCGCGCGGCGTCGCCTACCCCGTCATGCGGCGGCTGCGGCTACTCGCGCTGCCGCTCGTGCGCGCGGCGCCCTCTGTCAGCGCGCTCTACGACCGCCGCTGCCTGCTCGACAACCCGCTGCTGCGCGAGCCGCCCGTCGACTGCTGGCCCTGCCAGGGGGCGCTGCAGGTGCTCGACCTCACCGGCTTCACGAACTTCACGCAGCTGTACGCGCAGCGTGGCGCCCCCTTCGTCATGCAGGACGCGCTCGCCGGCGCCGTATCCGTCGACGACCTCGGCGCCCTCTACCGCGAGCACCACGACGCGCTCGCCCGTGGCACCGCGCACTTCTCCTCGTCGGACCCCGCCGCCGTCGCGACCGTCGACGACCTCCTCCTGCGGACAGGGGGCGCCGGCGTGCCCGCGGGCCTGCACGCCGAGTGGCGGCTGCGCAGCGTCGGGGCGACGCGGGCGCTGCGCTCGCGACTCCCGCGATTCTACTTTGTGCCGAACGCGACCGAGGTGTCGCTCGAGAAGTTTGTCGTCGTCGACGGTCGCCGCGGCGACGCGTACGAGCTGCCGCGGCCGGAGTTCAGCAACGCGTGGCTCGCGCAGCTGGCCGGGGAGCGCCGCGTCGCGCTGCTTCCGTGCGCGGCGTGCGAGCACGCGTGCAGGACACTGCAGCTCGTGCTGCGCGCCGGTGACGTCGTCTGCTACAACCGCGACTACTGGCGCGCGATGTCGCTGCCGTACGGAGACGACACTGCCGCCGTCGCATACATCGGCTCCTTCTACTGACGTGTGGCGGAGAGAGAGAGAGGGAGGGAGACAGAGAGAGGAAATGCCAACACCTAGATGGTTTCCTTCTACTGACGTGGGGCAGAGATAGAGAGAGAGTGAGAGAGAGCAGGAGAGAGAGAGAGAGAGAGAGAGAGAGAGAGAGAGAGAGAGAGAGAGAGAGAGAGAGAGAGAGAGAGAAAGAGAGAGAGAGAGGAGAGAGAGAACGAGAGAGAGAGAGAGAGAGAGAGAGACGAGACGAGAGAGAGAAGAGAGAGAGAGAGAGAGAGAGAATAGAGAGAGAGAAGAAGAGAGCAGCAGAGGAGAGAGAGAGAGGAGAGAGAGAGAGAGAGAGAGAGAGAGAGAGGAGAGAGAGAGAGAGAGAAGAGAACGAGAGAGAGAGAGAGAGAGAGAGAGAGAGAGATGGAGAGAGAGAGAGAGAGACAGCCAGGAGAGAAGAGAAGAGAGAGAGAGAGGAGAGAGAGAGAGAGAGAGAGAGAGAGAGAGAGAAGAGAGAGAGAGAGAGATCTGAGAGAGAAAGGAGATGAGAGAGGAGAGAGAGAGAGAGAGAGAGGAGCGAGAGAGAAAGAGAGAGAGAGAGAGAGAGAGAGAGAGAGAGAGAGAGAGAGAGAGAGAAAGAGAGAGAGAGAGTAGAGACAGAATAAAACA